GAAATAGATCGTCACTTCATCAGCGAGAAGATTGAGACAAATACTATCAATCTGAGATATGTATCTTCCCAACAACAAGCTGCTGACATTTTAACTAAGGCATTGCATCGACCCAGCCTTRGTAGATTAATCTCAAAGCTTGGAATGACAAGCATATACCATCCAGCTTGAGGGGGAGTGTAGAAAATCAAGCCGTAAATTAAGTTTTTTCCTTATTAGAATTTACATTATGTCTTTGTATATTCTGTAATTTTATTGTTTTCCTTATAGGTTTAGATTAATTCCTTATTTGTTGAAAGGTCTTCTTGTATATTTACCCCTAAATGGGTTGTAATGAGAATAAGAAAAATATAACCCTTCTCACAAAACTACAAGAATTGTTTCTCAAGTTTGAAGAAAAAGAAAAAAAATAATGATATAGCAGAACAATGGTGAATAATGAATCCAAAAAAGGATTGATACAACTGCTTAAATATAGTTTCATTCTTGGTACTTGGTAGATTCTTTTAACAGGAAAATTCCTAACAATTTTCTTGAAATATAAATAAAATGCCTCATCTTATTGCACTATAGCAACCAGATTTGCTTAAACATTCTTGAAAGTGAAAGCTTCAAGACGAGAGTCTAAAGATACAAGCAGAGTTTATCAATCAATCAACTTGCTTTAATTGGTGTTGTTCATTATTAGTTCAGGATTCTAGCAGATTTAAATTTATTGAATCGTTCGTTTTGGGTGTGTTTAAACCTCAGGTGGGACACTCAAACTAAAGGTTTTTACTAAGAAGCAACAATTTTGATAATAAACATAGAGCACAATAGACATTTAGAGGATTATACTCCAAACCAAAAACAGAATGTGAGAAAGATGAGAAGAGATCTATTGAAGAGGATATCCAGAATCTGTTTACAGAGCATAAGGAGCCCGAGGAGTCAACTGGAATTCCATCCTTTTTCGAAAAAGCAGGTATAGAATTAATTCCAATTCCCGGAAAACAAAGAAGGTCCTGTCATGTAATGTTCGAGGCCTCTGTAATGATAAGAAGAGATTGAAGATCAAAAAGTTCGTTCAAAATCTACGCCCTGATGTAGTATGCTTACAGGAAATAAAGCTCCAGCAAGCCAATTCGATCGTGATCAAATCACTTTGGAGTTCAACAGATATAGGATGGTCGGTCATTGATTCCTTAGACGAATCAGGTGGTCTTCTGGTTATGTGGGATGAATGTAGGATCCGAGTCAAAGACATCATTAAAGCGGGTACTCCTGGTCCATTCTAATATCCTTTTCCAATAGTGATGATATCTGGGTTCCTAATGTATATGGCCCAACAAACAACGGGGAAAGGAGGTTTCTCTTTCAGGAGCTCTAGGACGTATCTTCCCTTAGTGATAAATGATGGTGTACTGGTGGCGATTTCAACATTATTCGTTGGCCTTTCGAAAAATCATCTTGTGTTTGACTGACAAAATCCATGAAAAAGTTCAATAATCTCATCACACAACTTGATCTAGCGGAAATTCCTCATCCAATGGAGGCTATACTTGATCCAAGCTAGGACATGAATCAATTCATTTCTTGTTGGATAGATTCCTTGTTTCCAAAGGATGGGATGAAGTCTTGTCCAACTCCAGAGTTTCTCGAGCACTAGAATCTCCTCAGATCACTTTCCAGTAATATTGGAGGGAGGAGACTTTCTGATGCAATCTGCCTTTCATTACTAAAGGAGAGCCTATTTATAGAGGCTTCCAGTTTTAGGAATACAAGATAAACTCAAGTTACTGTGCAGTAACTACTAAACTTTAAACCCTTT